GGAGTTCAGACGTGTGCTCTTCCGATCCCCCAAAACCCCAAAACCCCAAAACCCCTAAACCTTAAATTTCCAATTTTAATCAGCGTGAAGTTTAATAGATAAATAAGAATAGAATATAAAGCTTAGTTATCTGATCATTGCAGATCGTTGATTTGTAAAATCACTGATAGAGTCCTGACTTACAATAATTGCATTCATCATCTTAGCAGAATCCAACTGGACATCTAGGTGCTTGCTCTCCAGTCTTGCAAATAAATTCGTTGTCTTTCATGTCCATGACTAGTTAGTTGTTCTTAACTCCAGTCATTCTCCATTGCCAAAGAGTCATTTTAACTCTTGAGGGATTTGAGCAAGTTGCTTAAATTGTGAATTTGCCTGATTTGCTCAATGTAGAAGCTACACTTTTGCTGATAGCTGTTCCAACAGTGGCACTGATAGAATATTTGTAACCGACGGCATCTCCTCCAACTTCAAACCCGGCTGTGAGTGAAGTACTGATTTCTTGAGAGTTAGTTTTAGTAGTATCAATACCTGCTGTTTCTTCAACTTATATACTTATAGCATCATTAGAAGATACAACCTTTTCCCAACTTCCTGATATGGTAATTGGAGTATCGGAAACCTTAGCAATAACCATGCTACCGATTCTATCATTCCAAGCACCATTTTCGTATTTAATGAGGTCAATCTAAGCAGGTCCGCTTATAGCTTTAACCTCGCCCTCTAAGAAATCTCCCTTATAGAGATAGGCTATCAAATTCGATGGGATAACAATGCCAGATGCACCTCCTCCATAGCCTGGTCTGTCAATACCATTTCTCATAATATCATTAGTCATATATGTTCCTGGTGGGAAGGTTCCTGATCTGTCGATGTTGAAGTCTCCAGCGCCTAGAAGCATAACTCTTGGATCTTTCTTTTCATCGTAGCTGTAAACCTCTACGTAGCTAACCCAGTCATTAACTGAGAGGTCTTGTGCATTATATGGTCCAAGAAGTTCAAATTTTTCATCCCAGCCATTTCCTGCACAATTATTGTTTGAGCAAAACAAGACTCTTAACCCTGACCCAATTTAGATGGAACTGAGCTAATCATTGAATCCAGGATTGAGATTACCAAGATTGCCCTTATATCCTGGGTAAAGAGAAATTTTTCTTCCTTCAAATCTTGTATCCCCGTACAAGTTGACTTAACCTTTAGGTGCAAATTAATTGAAGGAAGCAAGATTCATGACTTAGTTAACTTTTTGCTCTTGAGAACCGAAGATGTTAAGAGCGAGAAGGGTTGCTGAAACACTGAGGAGGGTACCGGTTGCAACTTTAACTAATGTACGTCTTCTGTTTGGTGTTTCTTCAGATGAAACTCTAAGGAATGAAGTCTTCATTCGTATCTTTTATTATTTATTAAGTGTAAATGTTTAATTATCAGAGAAAATAGGATATGAATTATGTTCTTCAACCGTTCATTATTAAATAAAATTAAAAAATACATACTTAGTATTAACCTTGATATAATTAGATCGAATTCTTAAAATTTATTAACCATTGAATGCTCTAGCTATATATTCCATTGGGGTTTTGGGGTTTTGGGGTTTTGGGGTTTTGGGG